TTGTTGAGCAGTGATTTTGCATAAAAGGTCTAATTATTACTATATGATGATCAGTGTTGTATTGAGTAGGTCCTCTGGCATTCTTCTCAACATATTTACTAAGTTTGAAATTCACATAATTGGTCATATGACTCAGACAATTGCAAGAAAACAATGATAAATATCGACGTGCTTTACATTTTTTCATTATCCTGTGATAATGTCTGCTAAAGAAAGACAACAAAAAAGCTTTCTTGGGTATAGCCATTCTATTTAAGTTAATTATCTTTGGATCATGCATTTGTTATTACATTTATATCGTGCATGATAAAGTTTTCTCACCTTATTAATATAGCGATGGAGCTTTGAAGACTTCGGTACCCAGGGGCCCCACTCACATATTTTAATGACGGGGGGGTCCGAAGGATTTTTTTGGGTCTGACATTTTGGCCAAAAGGGATTTTTTGGGTCTATGAAAGACGCCGGGATTTTTTTGGGTCGCAAAAACAACACAGGGATTTTTTTGGGTATTGTATTTTTCATCAGCTCAAATCAACAATAACATAAGCGCAATTTACTGCTTGTGTGGTATTACGGGATATTTCTGAGATTGTAATCTATTTGAAAAGTAATTACCGGCACTCCAGGCGCATCTAATCCAGAGAGAAATATTCAATAGGTCACGTAATTCAAGGCCTTTCAAGCCTCTTTGCTATGTAAAAATAAAGGCAAGGAAAACTGATTTTATAAACTAAACTCAAACCGGGAGTCAATGCTGTTGAGTTCCTGCAAGAGCTAAGAGGTCCAGTCAGTTGTGATCCCATTATTGTTGTATGAAGAAGTTCTCTTGGTAAATATTAGTAACATAACATCAAGCTTGCCAAAGTGGTTTATGAACCCATACAAAGATGTGTCGCTGACTCAGTTATTTCAGAAGACAAATAATAAAATTTGCTGATGCAAAAACACTGAGGGATTTTTTTGGGTAAGCTGAAAAAAGTAGGGATTTTTTTGGGTAGACAAATTCTGAAGTTGGGATTTTTTTGGGTATAAAATATGAACCTCTGTCGGACCCCACCCCCCCCCCCCGTCAATAAAATATGTGAGTGGGGCCCCTGGGCTTCGGTATGTCAATCGCTGAAATCTTTTTGAAGACAAATTTCTTCAACATGCTAATCTTCTTGTTGAGACCTCTTAGAAATTGCAGTGGAATTCTGCTCGGTTCACGAGCACGTCTAGATCGCCTTGTAGCACGTATTTTAAGATGATATAAAGTTAGCTTTGATACTGAGTGTTCGCTTTGATTCTCGATAAACTTCACGATGGAAGGTTCACTCAATGTAGATAGCTTTGATAAGTCGCTTTTATTCTCGATAAGTTTCACGATGGAAGGTTCACTATTAAATTTTCGCTCATAAACTAGTGAATCGTAAAGGTTGGGGAACGTGTCGTTCCCCAAAAGCTATAATCTTTGTCTTGACTGTCCTCCATACCTCGTGCTTTTCAAAACGGCGGATAAGATTTCAATGAGCCAGCGATATATTTCAGTCAGCGATATATCCCTAACAATGTAACGTTGAAAAAACGACAGAAAAAAACCGTCTGCATTTTAAGACCGGTGCCAGCCTTCGGCTGGGCCTCGGTGATAATAATAATAAAAATAATGCACTTTATTTAAAGACGGTAGCACCATAGTTAATTGAGTGGAATGGTTATGAAACCCGTCAGACTCCTTTGTTACATGTTTTTGTGGACCTGAAAGTGCACAACGTTCAAAAGAATTCCTATCATTTTGATTGTATTGACCAATAAAAACGTTGCATTAATTTATTCCGTAACAATTTGCCGACAGAAAACAAAGGATTGTGCACTTTCAGGGTGCTTCCAACATAAAACTGCAGCACTGTTGTTTTTATCATTGATGTTTGCCGCTTTTCATAACCAGTCTCCTCTAATAACTATGGTAGCACGGAATAGTTATAGAAACTAGTAAACTAGTAAATTTGTATTGTTTCGTCACTATTTAATAAACCATAAAACTGACTGTGATTTCTTGCCTAAATAAAAGCTTCATTTAAGAGAGGGTTGTCTGATTTTTGTTCTTATCTTTGTCAGTAACATAAAAGGGAAGTCTTTATGTCTATAGAGGGTATCGACCAAGTTCTGCTCTACAGGCTTTGTTTTCTTTGTACCATGGGACATTTACAGAATTTAATGTGAACTTGCTTAATTGCACTTTTAAGTGTCTTATGAGATAGTAGTTCTGGTCGCCATATTTCACAACCATAAAGTAGTACAGGTTTAATAAACAACGGCATCGAAAAGTTCTTTCCTTGTCACGACCGCTGAAGAATCAACGTTTGAGAGTAATCGTTTAAGACAATTTTGGTAGCCATTTTACTAAGAATTTTCGTTGCATAAGCGTAACGACCAGATGATGTCATTTCTATTCCTAGGTATGTTTGTTTGTTAACAGTTTCTATAGTTTCATTTGCGTATTTGAAATTTGTTTTGTCCATTACCGCTAAATATGATGATATTAGTTCCATTATTAGATGATAATGATAATGACAATGACAATGACAATGGTAATGATAACGACGATGACGATGATCGTTTCCCAAAAATTCAGTTCCCTTTTTTGAAGTCTTAAAATAATACTAAGTTCTGCGAAAATCTTTCCCAAACTATAATTCTTGGTAGTTTTAGGGAGGAGAAAGCTAAAAAGCATATTCTCAGATCTTTTGCTAGAATGGCAATTAATTCTGGAAGTTTTTCCGCAAAAGCGTTCCTCGTAAGAGGAACGGCCATGGAAAGGCACGCCCGATCCTATATAACTGTATGGGTGTGTTCCTTTCGGTGAATCCAAAAACGGATTTTAGATCTGGTGAATCCTTTTTGAAAAAGGATTCATTGGATTTGAAATCCGAAGAATCCAAATCCAGATTAACGGATTAGTGATCTACGCTGTTCCATTCACAGTGGATCCGAAATTAGTCAGATGATCCGGCGGTTTTTCCAGTTGAAGTATTCCCATAGAGGCCGTAGAGTTTCCTCGTTGCTGTCATTTGCCGCAAAACATCTGAAAACATTAGAAGATTGATCCTGGTACATTAAAATATCCATATACTAACCATTTGTCTCTAAAGATTGCTTGAAATCAGAAATAAGTAAGTAACAAATGAACTGCTATCTAACTACAAACTCGCTTGTAGACGCGACAGGCACTCGATCGTGTTACATAAAAAAATCCGAGCTATGGAACTGGATCAAACTGGGCGACATTCTTTCTTTGTCTGTTTTATATCTTCCATCGTCGCTATTCGAACTACCGACCACTAAATTCTGCACAGTATAATCGCATAATTTGTCAAACAGTAGAAAACACGTCATTTTTTGAGAGGCTGTCGTGCATATTGCACGCGTTGGCGAAAGGTTACCAAGGTTACAAATCCAATTTCGGATTTCACGTTCCTTTCGACCGCGAAATCTGTCAAATCTAGGATCAAAAATCCGTTTTTGGATTCGCCGAAAGGAACACACCCTATGAAGAGTGTGATCTTGTTTCAGGATACCTACGTGAGTTTGTCTCCGGTATATCCGTTGAATTTATGCAGTAGTGTAGATGAGATCAATTTAAGGGGAAAATTGAACACAGACTCAAAGGGGAAAGTTCCCATGCTAAATCGGAAAACAGCCAAAGAAATATTAATTTGAACAAGCTCCAAATACTGTTCCCCGCTTCCCTTGTATCCGCCACACTAAAGGAATAGTTAGATATTCCGTCAGATCTTAGTAGTACAAAGAATCTTAAGTATAATAGCGATAGCGGACACAACGGGGACAGAACTTACGGTACAACAGATCTGCTTCAAGGTATACATAAAATATCTAAGGTAAAGGATCTCATTGAAAATCCACATATTTTATTTAGAGTGACGGATACATCGGATAATACGGGAAAGACCTCTTACAGTTCAGTGGCAAGAAAGGCGTCTGTTGTCTTATGTGACATCCCATTCATTTCAGTTATAATGCGTTTTTATTGCATTATTTGAGAACTCCTAAACTGCAGAATATAAATGGTGTGGCGAATATGATGGATACATCGTGGATATCTATGTCCTGCAAAAAATAATAATCCTGCCAAAAGTGTGCCTAAGGTTTCCGCGGATTAAGAGATTGCTTGTTCGCCACATAAGTATTCAGACTTCGTTTAAAAATTACACTTTTGTTCTAACGTGAATACCCACTATTTGCGAATTGTCAACAAATCTTCATGAAAAGAATGTGATTACAGCGATCGAGTACGTAATTAAAAGTTTTCAGACTTTGTTTAAAAATTACACTCTGTTTGTGAATTGTCAACAAAACTTCATTGAAGGTAAGACCTGTGGTTCGCCAAAAGTTTTGATTTCACCGTCAGATGGTGCAACTACAGCTACGAGGTACTAAGACTATTTATTTATTATTAGCAAGACAAATTAATGTTGGCTTGAAAACAGAATGGCATGGGCCAGGTTCAATAATTATATAATCTTGTAAGATTGTCTATGATTCCTTTTGATATAAGATAGCCCTAAAACAGTTGCCAGGTACTATAAGAGAAGTTTAGGGGGTCAGCTTTACAGGGATTTAGTTCTCTGTTGGCACCCTGTTTGCAGTCTGATCACCGGGGGGGAAGGTACTGTCATATATGGGCTATATAGGTATGTGCCGCTGTGAAAGGTATGGTTTTCAAGCAGTTTACTCTGGGGGAGGGTATATAAATCGGAGAGTTTGGGTCTAGAATAGGGTGTCATTTTTCAGGAAACTGATCAGTTGGTTAAGGATTTTATCTAGACTAGGGAAACAGCTACTCTAGGATAGGGAGGACTTGGGGAGTTTACTCTAGTATAGTGTAGCAAAATTTAGCTGAACTAGCTCTGGTATAGGTTAAGGGGTTCCAGGGTCCCAGTACCCCCCGGGGTCTGATCATTGTTCATTTACTGTCTAAAACTAATTTTTGATATTTGATTCAGTTAGACAACTATTACTTTACAGTCCGGTATTACAACTACAGCTGCAGCCACGAGACCTTCCATGGACACGGCGACTCCTCCAAACCAACGAACCTTGTTCTCATCCAGCTGTATCTTCCGTAACAAGTCACCTGTCTTAGTAAATATTGCGACCACAGGGTGACCCGTCTCTCGTTCATGACCAGCAACAACGACATGTTCTCCTGCCGGGTGACATGAAACTCGATAATAATAATCTGCTTCTATGTTGATGTCAAAATTAAAAAGTTCTTGTCCCTCAGTGTTGAAACAGCGGACGCAGGATTTGCCTCTGTCAACAACCATGACACGGTCGTTATGAGCGGCAGTGATATCTGTTGCATACATGAACATCCAGTCTCCCAAGCTACGAACAAATTTCCCATCAAGGTCATACACATCAACCACTGCACTATCAGATTTTCTCAACACCAGTACATGGCGGCTGCAAACTGCAAGCTTTCCCCAACCCTGGTCCCCTTTTCTCACGGCAAACTTGCGTTGCGGGTCAGCGGAGCCGTCTTGGAAGACCCAGACTTCCCGTTCATATTCATCACGTTGCTCAGCTCCAGATCTCTTCAGTCTGACCAGAACATACGTATTGTTTTCCACGTCAGCTGCAACATCGCGAATGTCTAACTGGATGGTGTCATCCGTTTGGAGGTAAAACCTATGGCAATAACTTCCACTGCTACTAAAAACTTTCACAGTCTTATCCCCGTTGTCCGCTATGAGGAACTCTCCCCTCGTATTTGTCGTTATACCCTGCGGAATTTTCAACTTGTGCTCCTCTTCACCCTCCTGACCAAATGACCATTGTATACAGCAGTGTTCCATGTCCACTTTACGTAGAGCTTTAGCAATTCTCCTATCACGAATCGGATCTACTTTTTCCTTCCCTGCATGAAGCAAGGACGACTCTAAAACTTCCCCACGGCTTGTTACCATCAGTGTTACATCATAGATGACCCGGTTCACTTGACAGACCGTTGAGATGACTTGTCGGCGTTCCTCTTTGCTAAGCGAGGCCCGCAAGCCTTTCTTGAGTTCAACGTTAAAACACGTCTGTACCGCTGACAAAGAGTGGAGCTCTTCGATTGACACCCTACAAGATGCTAACGCGTCTTCGGGGTTGTCAATCGTCTCTAGAACTGTAGCCATAACTCGATATTGCATGGCTAATAAGCGGTCAGACAGTTCCAAAGCTTGGTTAGCAAAGGCTTCGGTCGCTTTCCGACGAGCATCTTTAAATCTTTCTTTAGTATTGACAAGCGCCCTCGTGGCGGAATCATCCAGGCCTGTAAGCCTCAACTTTTCGATCTCTTTAACGAGGGAAACAGATGTGCCCGAACCTGCTGATTTATCTGGTACTTTTATAGCGCTGAACTCGATTCCTGACCTTGCTACTCTGTCAAAAACAACGAAAAGCGATTCTATTCCTTCCTTAAAAAAGCTAATGCTCGCTAGCAAATCTTTTCTTGCCAAACCATCCAACTTCAGCTTAACGTTGTCGATTTCGCGCATGATGACTCCACGGAATTTCTGATCTGTCACATCACCTTCCTTCAGTCTCTCTGCCGCTTTGTCTCTGCCTTTATTCACGAGCAAGCCGATAGTGGATTTGAATACTGCGGTAACCACTGAAGACAT